GACATTTTAATTTTGTATCTGAATTTTGAACTAAGAAAGCTAAAGCCTAAAATGTTCAATGGTTGGTTCATGATAATAATGTTAAAAGAGTTGTACCCTTATCTATAGCCAATAACCTTAAAGCTCCATGTCAGCTGCATAATGGAAAGAGATATTGAGCATCTCCAGCTGACAACATGTGATCCACTAATTCCTGATTATACTAGACTTCATTTTTAAGTGTTTTCTCTGGTGAAACAAAACAACCCCCATGAAAGATAACTCAGATATAACCCAAGATAATGATATTTGGTAATGTAGTACATGAGTATTCCCTCACTGAAGTTGTAGTATTTCCCCAATACAAACGCTCCTAAAAATATCAAGGAATTTACTGTCAATTTTAAAGGAGTAATTTAGTACTTTGCTCTTAATAAGTGAAAAATTCCACATAGCTCAACATATAATCAACTAATTCATCCAGAGTCAAATTCCATCTGGCAAAATAGGGTAGATTATGATATTTTAAAACATTATCAGGACTAAAATATCCTTGCATCTTTAGCAGAGTAATTGTTTTTTACCAATCCTGGATGATTATTTAAATATGTCAATAAATGCTCAGTAAATATTGATGATGGGGGAGGGGAGTGTTAAGAGAAATAAAACAATCACATAGAACCAGCACATTTTAAATCATCATTACAAGGTAACAGTTTATAAAGAGTTGTAGTAATTCTTACTATTATTTCAATGTATTATGATACAAAATAAATACTTGTTGGATTCTCTAAATTACATAAAGCAATTTATATCATATATTTTGCTTTTTTTTTGGTTATTTCCAGGTTTGGGAGGGGGCCATTTTCAGAAGAACACATACCAATGATTTATGGTTGACATAAACTCAAACTCAAGTACTCACATTAAGCAAGTGGATTATGTGCCAAAACTCTGCATGTAAGTCAATTGTTTTGAACTCAGACAACAATTAATTCTGGAAGCAACACCATAAATGCGGTGTTGGTTGAAAAAAGATCAACACCTCCAGCTCCTATTTAGATTATAGCATCACATGCCCGGAGCCGGTCCATCCTTGCTATTTCAAGGGACCTGGCATATATGGCATGCTGTTCTTGATATGTTTGCTCGCCTTCTTGGCGCTGTGTGTTTTGACCAGGGTCGCCTCTCCAAGAAAGGTTGTTTCCCCAGGTGGGGATTTTCCCCTGAAGTTAGGGAGGGGATAAAACCCCTTAACTGGGTGCCAGGCGGGTAGTTGATCGCTTTAGCTGCAAACAATCATGCTTAAGCTACATAATCTTTACTCCCTGGAATGAAGATAAGAAACGCCCTAACCTTTGGAATGGAGATTGATGGGATTGGAATCAACTGGTATAAATACAGATGTAACAAGACAACAGGAGACAGAACTTAGAAGACAGAACCTAGACACAGAACCTAGACACAGAACCTAGACACAGAACCTAGAGACAGAACATGGCAAAAGAACCTGGCTGGAGAACCTGGAGAACCTAGCAAGAGAACATGGACACAGACCTTGGCTGGAGATCCTGACCAGAACTTGGCTAGAGATCCTGGCTACGCTGCTGATCAACTGAACACTGCCTCTGTGTCATTCCTTCTTCGCCGACTCCATCCACACCTTTGGGGACCCCTGGACCTGCTGGGGTTGGACCCCAGCAATCACACTAACCTAAGCATTAGTTCAGAGTGCTGGGTCCCGGAAACGAAGGTTGGGCCATTTTCTTCTGTTTCTGGATTATGGGAAAACCCTGGGACCAGCTTTGAAATATGCTGAGGTTCTGCAGAAATAAAACCCACAGAACTCAAGGTCCCTCTCAAAGTCCCTCCTTGACACTTTCCCTGCTCCATTTAGACTTGCAGATTTCTACTCTGAATCCCAGAGCTTGACTAGTACTGTTACTATGGTGCTTTTTCTTTCTCCCTCTTGTTATAAATGTTTGTATAGTGATCATGCTCTCCCTTCCCCACTAGGATCCTTCCACCAACACACACACACACACACACACACACACACACACACACACTGCAAAACTCCTAAAGTGAAAGGTTTGTGTTTTAACTAATTTTTCCCATAATAACCTTGACAGCAAGGACAACTGGACAAATACAGCAAGTGTAATTACTTTCTATATTACCTGTTTATATATTGACTATATTTAGTGCCCATTTTTTATTAATATCACATTTAGGTTAATGTTGCCTACCTACTTTATATTTTATAACTTCTCCCTGCTTAAACCCTGCCCCAATCACTAATTTAGAATTCCACCAAGATTAGATGTTGAGTAAATTTATATTACACTGATACCAGCTTCTGTTGCAAAAAAAAAAAAAAAATGTGGCTGCTCAAAAGATTAAACACAAGGCAAGTACCTGTTTCTTAAAGTAAAAGTCTGAGAAGGCTTTCCAAAGCTCAGGCTAATCCTCTGACTTTCTTTTTCAGTTTCCTGGAGGTGGCAGATACACTCAGGGCATAAAGTCCAGAGCGCGTGAGACAAATTAACTAAAGCTAACAGCGGTTGGCTACAGGTGGGAGAATGTAAGAAGTAAATGAGTTAGATGGCTCTTGGGGAGGTTGACTGGGTGTTGTATTGCCATTTGGCCACAAGGGGGAGCCAGCCACTTAGGTAAGCGGCCACAACCCGCCAAAAGTGCCACGCTGTGCTGCGGTGCCCCGAAATCCCTGAAAGGGCATATCCATTGACAGACTGAGGTCCCTTTAGGGAACACTTCAAAACAAATCAAGGGGGAAAAATCAAGGAAAACCAGAGTTCCTAGACAGTTCTGTGTTTTCTAAGTTTTTCAGCTTGGTTTGGGTTATAACTGTCATTATCTGTTTTCTAGATATTTGAGCCAAGAAGACTGAATTAATGATAAAAACAGACAGATTTGGGGAGGTGGGGGCTTCACCTGGTCAGGCCACTGGGCTGAGACAAGACCTGGATTTGAGTCCTGACTGGGCCACTACACTCAGTCCAGATATTCAGATAACACTGTATTGTATCGGGCAAGGATTTCTTCTAGCGCCTCACTATCATTAACAAACTTCATTTAGAATGACATTGAATTAAATCGGATGGCTAATGCAAACGATAGCACCTACACAGGGGAGCCGAGGTTCTCTAGCAAAAAAGAAAAACAGAAGATACTAAAAAAAAAAAGCTGAAGAGGATGCCTGTTTCCAGATACTGACATGGGAACAGTGTGCTGGTCCTTTGGATAACCCCCCTCGAGCCTACAGTCACGGCCATGGGTCACTATTTCCCCCATAGCGGGTGCTGCAGTGGATTATTCGCCCCCTCTTCAAGTCTTTTAGTGGTAAAAACTCTCTTTCTTGGGAGAATAATCATCTAATTAGGGAAGCTAAAAGAAATATGAAATTATATAATAATTTTATTTAAATTTAAGAACCTATACTAGTCACTGCCTTGATAAGAGTTTGTAGATTAGCCTTAACTGGTTTGGCTCAGTGGATAGAGAATCGGCCTGAGGACTGAAGGGTCCCAGGTTCAATTCTGGTCAAGGGCATGTACCTTGATTGCAGACACATCCCCAGTAGGGGGTGTGCAGGAGACAGCTGATCAATGTTTCTCTCTCATCGATGTTCCTAACTCTTTATCCCTCTTTTTCTCCCTTCCTCTCTGTAAAAATCAATAAAATATATTTTTTAAAAAAGAGTTTATAGATTAAATATAGAATAAACCAAAGATGAGTGACGGCTTTTCCATGATTTCAGGGAAAGGAACTGGTCCAGAGCAATCTCTCTGTGTTCTAAAAAGAGGTACCAGTTTGCAATTTTAATCATTATTGTTATCTTAGTGAAATGACAAAGTTTATTTAAAAATCATGCAGCCCAAGCCCCAAACAAGGACATGACTTAAACACAAACTAACCAAAGAAAAGTGAACATAGACTCATTGAATTTTTTTTACCTAATGACCAGCTCACCCTCACAAAATGCCTTTGTATGATGGGCTATAATTTGGATTCCTGACCCTTTCATGAACCACGAGACAAAGATATCCTAACTCTTGAAAAATAAATATCTACCTCCAACTGCCCAGCATTTAGGTCTCAGTAACCATCTTGCCCAAGAGCAGAGGGCTCGTTTCCACCTACCAGCCCAAGGGCTGCAGCCATCATCACTCGCCTGTTTGCTCCACCTGCAAGGCACAGCCGCAGGAGGCACGCACAGAACCCAGTCCTGGAAAATACTCCACACTCCCCACAGAGGCAAGGCAACTAATATTGCGCGGTTTTTTTAATATTGTGTTTTGTTTTATTTTTTTATTTTTTTCTACACTGGTCTTTATAACTGTGGATGTTTTTATAGAAATGTCGTTGCTTTTATCTTCTTAATTAATTCCCCATTGCTTAAGACAGCGGTTCTCAACCTGTGGGTCGCGACCCCTTTGGGAGTTGAATGACCCTTTCACAGGGGTCGCCTAAGACCATCGGAAAACTCATATATAATTACATATTGTTTTTGTGATTAATCACTATGCTTTAATTATGTTCAATTTGTAACAATGAAAATACATCCTGCATATCA